TGGGTAAATTCCAACTGGAAACATCTATAATACATGCAGGTTTGTTTACAAGTGATACTTTTTTCCATGACAGTGCTGCAATTTAAAGTCTAGTCATAATTCTCTCTCTTGTTCAGTAAACACCAACCTTATGATCTAGCACATATATATTTTATATTTGAAATTCAGTCCGTCTAAAATAGGGATGCACCGATATGAAAATTTTGGCCGATACCGATAATTCTTTATATTTGAAAGCCGATAACCGATATATCGGCCGAAACTTAAATCCAAATTTGTATCTAATTTTGAGAGCTTGATTACAAAAACAAAAGTCTCACAATTAAATCCATGTCCCAAGCGCACAATTATAATGATGTTCTCATTATAGTGTTGAATAGCCGATATGACAGATTTGCGCTGCACATGTTGTACCGAACCGTATTTTCATTTTTTTAAGAGATTTCAATCATATTTCAAGAAATTCAAAAACATAAACAGTGCTCAACAAGTGTCTCAGCTGGAAGGAATAATACATTATTTACCGGCTTTAATATATCGGCCACATTTTTTTACCAGGCCGATAACATTAAAAATGAACATATATCGGCCGAAATAATTGAACATTGAAATAATAACTGATATTCTAAACGGTTAGATCGAATAAACTTCGGTGTACTAAAAGTTATGGACAAGAATGTTATTAATCACAATAATAATATTGGGTTGACTAAACTGGCTAGAAGAAACAATATTTCCCTTAAGACCTATTAAACTGTCAAATAAGAAAAGTAACACAAAACACCAAACAAATCTATGCATATATCGATTCGAATCAAAATTTGATCCAAAATCGAAAAATTATTCTTTTTAATCGAATCATGAGGTATCAACAATTCCCAACCCCTAATCACCATGTCCCTTCAGGGGCTCCGTAATTATCAAAATAACAGCTAGTTACAAATATTTGCACAAGAATGTCTCAGGTATTACAGCCAGTTTCACTTTATATTTTAAATTCACGATCACACATTGTATAGGGAGCATATTTTACAAGATAGCCTATGTTGCTCAGGATCTGTTGCGCACCAAATCCTCCATCGTCGTCCTGTCAACCATCTCTCAGTCCCTACTCTCGTTACGGGATAAGTGAAATCTGACTCCTGCTGTATATTTGCTGCTTGTTCTATCGCCTATATTGAGTGGAGCAGATGCTTTCAGTTTATATTTGTGGCGTCTGTTGTCCAATAGGCCAACTAAATAGGCTAGTTTTATAAATATAAGAAAAAAGCAAAATAAGCCTAATTATGAATGCTGATTAAGCAAACATTTGAAGCTACATTCAAATGATTTTCTACTGAAAATAGTTTGACTTTGAAGTTAGGCATAATCTAGGACACCATACCAAGCTTTAATTATCTGTGAAGCCGAAACATATGCACAGTGCGCAACATGAAATGCAGACAAAATCATCCGAATTAGAGCTGGGTATCGATACAGATGTCCCAATTCCATTCGATTTCCATTCTCAATTCGTTTCAATGATTTAATTATCACTGGCCCCACCACAAAAAAAAAATGTTTTATTGTTTATTCAGTAAAGAGAAGGGAGAGATTTCTTTGTCTTTTGTAGTTTGATTAACATTAAAAACACAGACAGCAGGAATATTAGTGCTGTCACAATGTATGGATCCAATATAACCTACTTATGTGATCTGATACACATGCGTCCTTTCATAAACAGATAGTTCACTTGGATACTCACAAAGGCAGGCATTTTGAAATAAAACTTTGTGAATTTGTCCATTTAACGTGAAGGAGAATTCATTTTATTATTTGTACGCACAGCCATGCGTTTTGTGTGCTCAAACCACAAATGATAAACTTTCGTGACCATGCAGAACTGGCCCGATTGCAACAGTGACAGTTCCTTCAACTGTCCGAAACATTTTCCAGCCTGAGAGGTCTACCTTCATCACCCATGTTAAGCACAGGCTTCCTGCTGTAACACTGTGCAAGGTAAATAAGAGGATGACATATAGTGGAGAGGACTAGTAGGCCTAATAAGAATAACGTTAATCAGATATTATGTTCAATATTTGCAGAAATAAACACAGAAAAAAGATTGATTTGTGGCTTTCGAGAATCGATACTGAATCGATCACATTTAAAAACAAAAACAAAAAAAAAACCGATTAATCAAATTTCTTTTTTTTTTGCCCAGCTCTAATCCTAATTCAAATGTTAAAGCAACTTACTTGCTACTTACAAGCAAGTAACTTTTCCTCTCCATCTACAGGTTGGAAGCGGAATACAAAAAATTATTTGTAGTTTACTGTCGAGTACGCTGCAACTCAGCAATTGTAACGTGTATAATGGCCGATAAATGAATATTTCAAAAATAAAATAAAAACGGGCAAAGTGTTGGAGTTGTATAGTTTGTCCACCAGAGGGCACTCTACACCGTTCCTGTTGGCAACACCCGTTGAATTGGTCACGATACATACATTGCTTGAATAACAATTAAAAGAACATCCCCAGAACGTTCTCTTAACTCAAATAAGCATGACAAAATTAGTGACCATCATGTCCAGTTTTGCTGCTGTTAAATAAGTTGTATAATGTTATGGAAATCTGTTAATGTTTTGTTGCGCGTTTCTAAAATAAAATAAAAATATCAGCCGATATATATCGGATTTTAAAACTAAAAAATATTTGTATCAGTATTGGCCTTCAAAATCCTTTATCGTTCGGGCTCTAGTCTCATACGGACTATAGAAACGCGACCTGATCTGGCAATCTTACATAGCGTGGTACATTAGATAAAGGACAGCAAAGCGGTGGTATAAGTGCATTTCACCATGTCACGACTTGATGAACGACTGAAACGATTTTGAAAACATTATTTTAAGGTAAAAAAATCGTACTTAAGTGTTGCTTTAACGGTAGGCAATTTCTTTTCATAAACACTTTGATATTCTGTTTGAAGCTCTCTTCACATCCTTATAACAATAACAGAAGATATTTTTTTTACATCTTCTATAGAAGTTTCGGGACCAAAAAATGTTTGTCCGATTACTATTGTGTTTTGAAGGAGGAGTGGCTTTGGAGAGAGCACTCTGAAGGGAGGGTGGGATCTTATGCTTTCAAAGCTAGCTTTCTATTGCTAGCCTGTCTGAATTTGCCTTCCCTGCCTTAAAATCCATTACTCATTACATTTTTTTTTTTTAGATTTCAATTATTTTATCCATTCAACTACAAGCACAGATTATTCTTTTGCTCATGTGACGTTCTGTTTGCATGAATGCACTTCCTGAAACAAAAGGCTTTAGAGATTCACTCCTTCAGATTTACACACACACCTGCCTCACCCTCGCACTTACAGACACACACTGCAGATTACGGCTTTGCCCTAACAGAGACTGTCTTTGTTTAAATAACCAGAGTCTTCAGGAGTTTTTCCGAGGGACAAAAGATGGCTGTTTCTGGTAGTCTGCTCCAGCCACAAGTTCAGTGAGGCTTTGATCACCTGTGTGACAGAGGATTTCAGATCACACAGCACTATCTTAACAGATTACTTCACGATGAACTGATACTTTTAACCGCTTTAGATAAGTATTAGTGTCTCTGATTACCAGAAAAGTTTAAAGGTAAGGAGCATTGCCTCATGCATGAAGCCTTCTAAATCCTTTACTTAGCATTAGTGCCACTGAGACGAGGCTGCAGTGCACCATTGGTCTGATCACAGTGGCTGTGTTACAGCAGACACAACAGTGTCTTATGAATGATGCACGACCTCTTCTTCATTATACCAACCCAATTCGCACACTCGGCGCTGACTCATCCTCGGTGGCAGATGATGATCGTATTTGACGAACACAACCAGCCAGACGGTTCACGCATACGAGTGGGAGCTGGTCTCACACTTGAGAAAAATCTCCCACGATAATCTGTCTAAACATGCCATTTCCTCTTCCTGACTTTACTATCTTTGCGGCTGCAACAGAAAGTACAAGTGACAAAACTAGACTGTTTACACATTAAACTTACACTTATTTAATTGCAAATCTAATCTTAAATGCTTTTTGGTTGATTTACAACAACGCAATGACTCCACAGACATGCACCAGGCAACTAGAAACATATAAAAGTGCAGTGCATGATCAATGCAAGCTTTGTGCGTATATTTCCTGGTGTTTGTGTTCGACTGTCGGCCATTTTCCTGTAAGCTCAAAGCTTTCTGATTCTCACTCTCTCACACACACTCAAGGCAGGAGATGGCTTCCCTCTACATACACAAAAAAACAAAATTGTCAAACAAAAATAATCTTATAATCCTCACACAACCCAGACAAACTAGGCGTTTCAGTCACATAATCTAAATACCGTTTTATATCGATTAACAACTGTTTTGCCACTTTGTTGTTTTTTTGCAAAAACAAAAAAAAACTAATTTCTTGCTTTCTTTGTAGCGTTGTTTACTTTATGTTTATCGACACACGCTAACTGATCGCTACTAAGCCAAATAAAAAAAAATAAAGAATTTAACGGGCAAAAACAACGTTGTTTTTAATCACTTTAGCCGGTTAGCCTTTATGCTAACAAAACTCACCACATCTTGAGGGATCAAAGCTTCATCCTTCTCCTCCTTTTTTAAATCCTTCTGTCCGAGAGCGGAGTTGAAAGCGAGTTTTACCATGTTGTGTAACTGTTGTTAATGTTAATTTTTTTTGTCTATGCCTTTTTCACCTAACTATGGAGAGCTCGACGACCTCTCTGTACACAGTGCTGCCTCACAACTTGCTGTGGCGCATTTATTTAGCCCCGGATTCAGACTGTATATACATCAGTGAACGGGAAGGGGGCACTGTTTCCTCCAACCTTTTAATAAAGTTGAAAATATACCTGTAATGAATGTAATGTAAATATAATTTACTATTATTATATAATAATATATCATATAATAATCAGTTTAGGGGCATGGTTAGAAATGAAGAAAAAAAAGACTGTCCAACCCAACATAATAAAACAACCAGGTATTGTTTATTGCAGTGCAGGTAATGTTTATGTGGAAAATAATATGTCATGAAATACTTGCAGTAAGATTACATATGAAAAGGGTGTTGTCTGATAGGAAGTTCTGGGAACGGTTAGAGTGAGTTATGATGACATCTTGGTAACACTTTACAGTAAGATTACATTCATCATTAATATAGGTTCATTTATAAATACATTGTTCGTTGTTAATTCAAATTTGCTTACAAAACCCCCCCTAATTTTGACTATATACAACCTGAAATGTTAAAATGTATGTATAAATTCATTTCTAAGCACAATTACTAAATGCTGTAAAATTATTGCTCTTAAAAGTTCATGATATCTATGCACTCACAAATGTTAACAAATTACAACTTAGAGTAAACTGTTACCTAAATATTTTTGTGTAACTTTACCCATGACAAATGCTCTAGACACTTTACCATCGTGATGAAATAATTAAATGACTGATAAGCCTTAATGGCCTTGATATAATTTAGTAATTGTGTGTTCAATAAAATCATTAGGCCTACTTGGAAGAGGCTATTGAGAAGCTGGAATAATATTCAGTACATATTATCCATAACAGTCAATCTGGAAGTACAGCATGTCCATCTTACTACTTAAGGTCAGGGCACAAGCTCAAAATGAGCAAGAAAAGGCCTAAGGTGAGTTCAGTTCACCTGGTCTTGAATCAGATAAAGCCAGGGAGTGATCAGATTGATTTCTTAATTACAGAAAATCCCTTTTAACTCTCTCTGAATGGCTGGAAGTCCTGCTGTCTTAGGTTGGCCAATGGCAAGAACAGCTGCTCTTCTGGGGGAAAATCCTCCCAGCACCTCCAGGTCCAACCTGAAAAAGAAGTAATTAATGAATCTGAATCTTTTAGTTTAATTCTGCAGCAATATTCAGATGTGTTTGCTTGACATTTAGGAACTTTAAGATAGAAATGACTCACTAATTCTTCAGTATTATCTACAATGACATGACAACACATGTGTAATACTAAACAAACTCATTTCTATTCAAAAGGTCACTACTTACTCATATACTCTAAAAAAATATGGTTCTTTAAAGGTTCTTTACACTTAAGTTCTATTTAATACCTTTCTGAAATGGTTCTTTTGTTTTAGAGTTTAGGGTTCTTTATTCCCGCCTTTTTGTTTTTCAAATCTGTAGGCCTAACTGTCAAAGCCTCCTTATTAATGATTTTCTGGAGTTACTACACATACTGTCAACATACTCTCAACAGGTAAACGATTTCTTTCTTAAAATATCTATAAATTATGACTTTAAAAATTGTCTTTTTTCTCTTTTAGTTTAACAGAACATGTAGTGTGAGGAGTTTGTTCAGTTAAGGTACACTTCTCTTCTCCACAGAGTAACAGAGGTATGGAATTTATTATCCATATTGTTAGATTTTTTTTATTATGACTTTATGCCTAAACGTACCCAGTCACAAAAAAAAAAACATTAAGGTTATATATAGCATAATGTTCTTTCAAAGCATGGTTCTTTATGAAAGCTTATAAAAAGGGTTCCGCTACTGTTAAAAGCCTGAAGAATCCTAAGTTGGTAATGTTTAGAACCATTTTTGTTTTATACAATGCATGGCTATGTGGAAACATTGAGTGAATCTACAGTTAGATTTTCTGCCAGTCATATGGCCAAAAAGTCCCAAGTTGGCGTGAGACAGATAATAGTCTCTCACATGACAGATTTTTATCACGATCATAATAAATGATCTGGGTGGGCCATCTGGGGCTGAGACTACACGGGCTATAACACATTCAAAGAAACAATTTACCTTCATTTTTCTCCGGCTCCAAATTAACAGGTTCGGCTGAGAAAGACCTGTCCAGTTCTCCCTGCATGAAGATTGTGATATAATGGTAGTTTTCTTCCAGTCGGATGGAGTTGACGACGGATACAAAGCGAACGTTCTTCAGACGGACACCAGCTTCTTCCATCACCTCTCTCTGGGCACACTGCTCCCAAGTTTCTCTGATAAGTGAAATTCATTTGCAAGTAACCCATGTGTATAAATCCATTAGCACACAAGAAAACAAAGTTAACATGAATAAGCAGGAATTATAAAGGACACACAAATGTCTTTCTAATTTGATACTGTAAACTCACCCGAATTCAATGTGACCTCCTGGTAATTGGTAGGTGCCTTTCCCAACTATAGTTTTTCTTTTTCCTAACAGGACACATCCTGGTTTTGAGGAGTCTGTCACAAGAACCCCAAGTCCTACTCCAGGACGTTTGAGGAAGGGTTTTTCATTTTGAACAGCCTCAGACATTGGATTTTAAACTGTAATGAAACACACTAACTGAGTTTAAACTGTAGTGAAACTAACTAACTGGTATATATCTAGTCCACACATTTTGTCAGTTGAATCAACATTCTGATTTCTGAAGGGTCATGTGACCATGAAAACTGCAGTAATGGCTGCTAAAAAATCAGCTTTGCTGTCACACAGGGATTAAACATTCAAAGATAGGAAATTCCACACATTTGAACTTACTAGAGTAAACATAATCACTATTTTTTTGTATTTTACAGAGTAAAATTGTGCTTGTTTTAATTTAGACATCAAGATATCTTGAGAAAAGGATGGAAGATCCATGAATGTATCAAATGACTGATAATCATGCACAATTAAATGATGGATATAATAGATACTCATATTTAGGCAATTATTGTTGTCTTTCAGTTATAGTTTGATAAAAGCCATACCTGTATATCTGCTTAATTTGAATGAATCAGGTCAATAATTCAATAACGTGTCACAACACACAAAATCACACTCACGTGCTGCCATCTACTGGCGTAAGAATGTAAGCGGCAGAAAGAGTCGCTGGAAGAATCTTTTTTTGAGAGTGGATTGAAAAGATTCGAGTCACAACTAGTGAGAGAATGAAAAACACATGCAATGCTGGCTTTACATGAACATAAAGGAACACTGCTTTAGTGGAAACCACACCGTAAGCCTAAACTTACCTATCTTAACTTAGTAGACAAATCTCGTAACAGATAGTATATGTTTCAAGACCTGTCTCGTGATGTTCGTGGTCTATGAGATGTACAAATGGTATCAAATCATCTTTATTCCCCAAAGAAATCCCAATCAATTAACACACAACATGAACTGATTCGAAAAGCTTTGGTTCATATCATGAGGAAGGAAATAACCAGGCGCGATTCTCGAAGCGCAGTTGCGCAGTTGACGTACGTTCTAACGCAGGCGCGTCCAGTCATTTGTTTTCTACTGCGCTGCGCTTGAACACAGAGCAACATGGCGACGTCCCTGATCTGTGGCCGGTTGTCCGCTGGACTGAGGAATTCCGGCTCCAGGACGAGTTTAAGCTCGGCAGCTAAGGTCACTTTTACGTATACACATCAGATATCTATATCCGATTGTCGCTTGTGAGGTGGCTTGCTGTTTTGGTCTCTTTCAATGACCAAAATGGGCGAATCTCCTTTGACATTAGCCGTCAGGCTAGCTGCCTGTCATTATTAGGAATGCTTAGGTTTGCAAGTCTATTCATTCTCCTGTGAGTGGATGTTCCTTTGAAGTCTGACTAGATTCATGTTTAAATATCTGGAATTTTAGTGTGTCTGTTTGTTTATATGGCTATCATACACAGTGTAACGCTACATGTCATCTTGGTTTACTAGTTAACTTTGACCTACATGGACAGAGTGACAGTCTGTTTTGTTTCAGTTCAGTGTTTCTGTCAACTGTAACGTTAGTGCCGCCTGGTTAATTCAATTAACTCCTGAACAACTGGGAACTGCAATTGTGCCTGTTATATTGAACACAATTCTAAATGTAAACCTTGCTGAATCATAAATTTGTTGAGATTAAGAATTGTATGTCTTCTGTTTGGTCATTGGAAGGTTGTACCCTTGAGTAGCCTAAGACACCCAGGTAATTCCCTATTTTTATTGTGCTGTGGAGTACAGCAAATTAGGAATTAGTAATTCAGCCAATTATCCAATTATTATCTCTATATTGCTGGTGCAGACTGTATTCTAAAAGGTATTATGATCCCACATTTCCTAATGTCTCTCTTGTTGAAAGGCTTGACTTTACTCTTTTCCTTTTCAAATCCTTTACATAAAAACATGGATAATAAAAATAGTCACTTATTTTTGCATTTTATAGATTAAAATGGTACGTTTTTATGATAAATACATAAATAAATAAATCAGAAATCAGTTTGTAAATGATTCAATAATGATTCAATTGAATAACGAGATCCTTTTGTCTTGTAAATCTCAGATTTTCCTTGGTCTTGCTTCTGTTAGTGAATATTGTTTCAGCAATGCACAAAAGTACGTGTTGGCAGTGTAAATACAACCATGGCTTTTCAGCAATAATATCCCTTGTGTTGCAGTGTAACCATGATTTCCATGTGAAGTTGGAATTAATTTGTATCTTTACATCCAATTACCAGGTGCTTGGTGGCACATCAGGTCTATTTGGTAACCATGGGAACCAGCCGTCCCCAATGCTGTTATTGCAGCAGCAGAGAAACCTCTCCCTGCATGAGTACATGAGCATCGGGCTGCTGAAGGATGCAGGCATCTCTGTGCCCGCGGGTATGGTTGCCAACACACCCGACGAGGCTTATACTGCAGCCAAGCAGATCGGTAAGAACATATGAACATATGCTGCTGGGCACTAATTGAGGAAAATATACATATACTCTTCTTAAAGGGACTGCAGAACTGTAGTTATGGAATATGAAGATTTATTTAATGTATTTTACACATTTTTGCACGATGACGTGCACAGCTTAGCTTACTTTCCGATCCACTGTGCTTTTGCGCAGGCCAGATTATGGTGTTTTGAACAGGGCGGCCAGATTACCCTATTTTAAGGTCTTAAATGTGCTGTGTATTTGTGTTTCAGCTGTTGTGCTGTTCTCAATCACTCTGCAGTCTAAACATAGAAACTGTGCCACCTCTGAAGAATGTGGCTGCCCTAACCTTTAATCTGACCGTCAGCATATAGGCAGCGCCGACACAGACCTGTGATGGACAAGCAGTGCTGTCCGCTTGAATAAAGGAGGGTAGTGTGTCACAAGCATGGAGGAACTAGCTTTGGACTGAGAGACGTGTTTACAATAGAGAGCAGGTTTCTATGACCTAACAGTCCAGATCTTGGTGTAATCTGTCTCAGAGCAGCACAAGCCTGGATCTGGTACCAAATAAATATATTTCTGGTAAACGAAACAAACTGAGCATTCAGGTTTGCAGAGAGTGGGAGTTTTGTATTTGCAAAATTGCAGCATAGACAAAGTTTGAAATATCCAAAATTTCACAATGTCTGATCAGTGATAAATTGGTGTTTCGTGGGGCACTTCCTTTTTTCTGAGCTCTAGCATGTTACAATTTTAAGTGTTAGTTCACCCAGAGCTGACTTTTTAAAAAACTTTTTTTTTTGATAAAAAATATAAATAAAACAGTAATATTGTGAAAAATATTTCAATTAAAAATAACTGTTTTCTATTTAAATGTATTTTATAATGTCATTTATTCATGTGATAACACAACTGAATATAGCATCATTCCTTCAGTCTTCAGTATGACATGGTCCTTGCTGAATTTCTCATTGTTAAAAAAATGTGGAGACTTTTCTTTTTGTCAGAATTCTTTGCTTCCAAACTTCAAAATAACAGCATTTATTTGAAATCTAAATCTTTTGTAACATTATAGATGTCCACTTTTATCAATTTAATGCATCCTTCCTGAATAAAAGTATTAATTTCTTTAAAGAAATCTTACTGAAATCAAACTTTTGAATGAGGGGTTAGTATAGACCATTTTGCAAGATGTAAACAACACTGGTCCAGAAATACTTCCTGTTTCAGTTTGTAACTGTTTTCTTTATTTCACATGTTTAACTTTTTGATTCAGTTTTATATGTTCTGTTGGTTGTATTTTATCCCAGCTTTTATGTAGTGTTAAAAAACTGAAACAGGAAGTGCTTCTGGACCAGTGTTGTTGTTTACATCTTGCAAAATGGTCTATATGATCGCATGTGAAAATATAAAAAAACAGTCCTGAAATTCAAGCCATTGTGCAGGAAAAGAGCAGCGTAACACGTCCTTGTTAGGAACAAAATGGAATTTCTTTGTGTTAATAAAATACATAATTGTCTGTTTACTGAAAATAGAGCTTGTAAAGTTACAAATCCCAGTATATATTGTATAAAACTCCACCTTATTGTTCCAAGCAGGTTAATCATTCTCATTGGCGTCGTAAGTCTGTTGTTTATGCAGTTTAAATCCTTGTAAATCAAAACTATGACTTGCGTCATGTTGATCAAACAATCAGGTCCAGCATCCTTGCATAAGCCTGTTCTGTGTGTGTACAGCAGCTCAGGTTTAGGGACTGTAGGTAATTACACAGTGACTCATTGGCTGAGGATGCAGCAGTTGTGTACTGGATCTTTCAATTTAATTGATCTTTGTTTGTTTGCTAATTTCCTTTGAGCATGGCCATATGTTTTTGTCTTCTCATTATTGTTTACTCTTTCTCTTTTGTCAGGCTCTAAAGACCTGGTGGTAAAAGCCCAAGTGTTGGCAGGTGGTCGAGGCAAAGGCACTTTTGAGGGAGGATTTAAGGGCGGAGTCAGAATAGTTTACTCGTGAGTGTTGGTGCCGACTCAATCGTTCAATGCTTTTGCTTTATTTCATTTCCCATTTCATCTCTTTGTCTTCTCACCCTCTGTGTGTCTGCAGGCCCGAGGAAGCGAGGGATATCTCCTCTAAGATGATTGGCAAGAAGCTGTTCACCAAGCAGACAGGAGAGGCTGGGCGCATCTGTAACCAAGTGTTTATCTGCGAGCGCAGATACCCACGCAGAGAGTATTATTTTGCCATCACCATGGAGAGGTCTTTCCAGGTGAGAAGTTACACTTTGTCAATAATACAGTGTGGTTTATCTATGAAATTGCTTTCATTGTGATTACAATCAAGTACAAAGTCTTAAAATGACATCACCACTTCACATGCTGCAGTAAGCAGAGTGGCCAGTAGAGGTCAACTTTTACTCATGCAGTACTTTACTTCACCTGCCCTTAAAATGATCACATGGCTTCTACTCAACCCCTACAGGGCCCCGTGCTGATTGGCAGTTCGCAGGGGGGTGTGAACATTGAGGATGTGGCTGCAGAGAATCCTGATGCTATTGTGAAAGAGCCTATTGATATCGTACAGGGAATAAAGATGGATCAGGCTATTAAGGTGAGATGCAGAGTATGATTTAGCTCTGCGCTGCAAGACAGTGCCCACACTGACTTCTGCTTGAAAAATGTTTTTGTTCTCTTTTTCTCTCTCTCTCAGGTGGCAGAGAAGATGGGTTTCCCCGCTGCATTGATCAATGAAGCTGCAGAAAACATGTTGAAACTCTATGATGTGTTCATCAAGTATGATGCATCTATGCTGGAGATCAACCCAATGGTGGAGGATGCATCTGGCATTGGTACCTTAAAGTAGACAACCTATGCTTTAGACCATTATGCATACATTAAACAACCTCATCCTAGGGTTACACAATATATTAGAGGGGGCGATATCTCGTAATAACATGTAGCATAACAATAAATTCTCCATAATTACATGCAACTAACCCTAAACCACACCCTAATCCTAAAGCAAAACCCTATAGTAAGTGCATCTAGTTAATTAATATTACACAGACTTTAAATGTATAAAAGGGTTTGGACACCTTAAAATAAAGTGTATCCTAACATTTTTGGTTATTTAAGGTGACATAGTTACATTGTAATTACTCAAATAAGGGTTTGGTTTAGGGTTAGTTACTTGTAATTATGCATAATTTACTATTACTATAGTAAGTACATGTAGTAACGTGTAAATACGTCACGTTTAGATAAAATGTTACCAAATAATTTTTTATTAAATACTTTTATTTATTTTTTTACAGGACAGTAGCACATAATTATAATTTTATAGACATTATTGAATGGGTCAAAAACAGTGAAATGTGGCCAATGAAAACTGAAGTGGAAGGAGATTTAAATAAAAGAAAACCTCACTATATGGTTTCTGAAAGTGGATTGAGTTAGTTCTTGTGAAGAGGATACCTTGTGAAAGATTGTACCTAAGCACACCTAACTTTTTTTGTGGAATTATTTTCTATACAAATGCAATCTCCAACAAAACCCCCAAATC